TTGAACCCAGACGTCTCATGAAGATTTATACTGTCTATTTGACACTTATTGTTCTACAATCAAAGTTTTACTTTCCAACCCCACCATTCCAAACCTAACAAAATTCTAAGGCTCTAACTCATAAACAATAAATAGGTCACTGATGAAGTTGAAAAACAAATCTAAACATGCCTTTTCTATTTCATTATCTTCTATGCTACATATGCAACATTTTATCAGATCCTGTGGACTTGAATTATCTCTCAAATCCATTCTTACTACTATTCTCCCTGCTCACTTCAATTGCTCCAAGCCTTCATCACTGTCTGCTTAGACTACTGTAAATATACCAACTGCTCCTCTTCACTCTATTGAGCCTTCACTCAACCCATTTTCCATACTCCTATATGGGATCTCAAGAAACAAATCCATTCACCCTCCAGTTTCAAATTACTCCAAAGCTAAGTCAATTTTTAATTTTGCTTATTTCTCCTGTGGTCTGTGTATCTCTAACATGTTAGAAATGAATGTCTCCGTCTGTCCCTTGTCCATCTAAACTATTTGATGTGTCTCTCTCTTCCCCACTTGCATGCTGAAATCCAATAGAACTTTCCTTAGAGTGTTCAGGTTCTGCCTGTCTATTTCTAGATCTAAAACAGCACTTCAGTTCAGTAAACACCTATGGTTTAGGACAGTTTCCTTATCATAATTTATCTTACTTAACCACAATTTAATGCCTCTACTACTGATTTTCCTCAGCTATGTTATCTTTTTCTCCTTCTCCAAAACCAATAAAAATACTAGAAACTGGCCCTCTGTCTAAATGGCTGCAATGGCCAGAGCTGGACTGGCTGAAGCCAGGAGCCATGTGCTTCCTCTGTGTCTCCCAAGAGGGTGCATGGGCCAAGAGCTTCCTTCAGCCATCCTCCACTGCACTCCTCCCAGATACATCTGCAGGGAGCTGGACTGGAGGCAGAGCAGACAAGATTAACACAAACACCCATAAGAAATGCCACTAAAACAGGCAGAGGATTAGTCTACTACACCACAGCACTAGTCCTGCATTGTTGCATAATTATCCAAAAGAAACAAACTGCTGAGGTCAGAATTAGGTGTGGTGTTGAATAAAATGCCACAAAGTAAATCTGCATCCCATACTGGAGTTCCTGGTCTCTGGTAGCCCAAGTAGCTGGGTGCTCTCTCATCCATGGGGGAGACCATGACTAACTGCCAAGTTTCTGGCTTCATTCTGGCTTAAGCTTGCCTGTAGTAGGTATTCAGAGCAAACTTGTCAATCAGATCTCTCTCTTTGGTTTTTAAATAAATGTGTGCTTTATCAAAAGAACACCTTTGGAACAGAATTGTGCATAGTGAATGAACACAGGCATTCCATGTGAGCCCTGCTTCAAGTCCTGGATGCACCATTTCTGAACCAGTTCCCTGTTACTGCACCCAAGATATCCCAAGTGCTAGGGCCAACATCACCACAGCCATTTAAAAAGTCAACCAACAGATAAAGATCTGTCTTCTCTCCTTAACACTGTCTTTCAAATTAAAAAAAAAAAAAAAAGCAAAACAAAAACCTCAAGACTAACACCAGTTTTGACATATCTGTTAAAAGGAAAATAACGTAATAAGATTATAATCTAAAAAGCCCTGTAGCAACAAGAAGCAACATGAATGTATTACTGCCTGATAGTAAACAGTCTAGTGCTGTTGTCTGCAGCACCAGAACCTATGTGGGCAATAGTTCAAGTCCTGGTTGCTTCACTTTTGATCCAGCTCCCAGCTAATGCATCTAGGACAGCAGTGGCATATGGTCCTAGTGTGTAGGCCCTGGCACCCATGCGGGAGAGCTGGCTCCTGCCTTTGCACCAACCCAGCATACTAAAAGTAATAAAATGTGTACCCAGGACTATTGATAATAAATTGAAAGTGAAAAGATGCCAGCTACTGACTGGTAGTGTGTGTTGTTAGTTAATATGTGCTGTAAGTCTAGATGAATTTCATTTAAAAGTAGTTCATCTGACTAGAGAATAGTTTATGATCAACTAGGAAAATACTGTAGCTTATAGTTGGAAGCTAACATGGAATCTTCCCAACTATCATGGATAGACAGATCAGTGCATGCAGGAAAACTAGAGTAATTTAATCTAAATAATTGGGCCTGATTAAAATGTTAGGTGTAGTAAACACGTATAATTTATATGCCTATGGATCTAATAATGAAGAAATTATCAAAACATTGGATAACAGTCTGTTGAATGTTACCTAAAAACCTACTGAATGTTATTTCAAGATCTTAAAGTCCTTAAGTAAATGTCTGTGTACAATCAAATCTATTTATGTACTAATATTAGAAGTCAAGTTGCAGGACCTTCATTGTGGAGTGGCAAGGTGAGGCAACATTTGCATCCACCTAATTTCCTGTTGATTCACCTGGGAAGGCAGTGTAAGACAGCCCATGTGCTCTGACCCTGCCACTCACAAGGAGACATGGACAAGAGTCCTGAGTTCCTGGTTTCAGAACAGCCCAGTGCCAACCACTGTGGTCATTTGTGGAGTAAATCAACAACTGCCATATTTATTTCTCTGTCTCCTGATTTCTGAATCATTCTCTATTTTATATATATATATATATATAGATAAAGCAACAAAGCAAAACCTAAAGTTGCTAAAATACCACTGTGAAAAAAAATCCTGAATACACCTTTAATACTACACATACTGGAGCCAGCACTGTGGCACAGCAAGCTAGTCCCAGCTGCTTCACTTCCCATCTGGCACTCTGTCTGGGAAGGCAGCAAAGGATGGCCCAAGTCCTTGGGCTCATCCACCCACATGGGAGAGCCAAAAGCAGCTCCTGGCTTCAGATCACCCTAGTTCTGGCCATTGCGGACAACTGGGGAGTAAACTAGCAGATGCAATACCTCTCTCTCTGTGGATCAGCCTTTCAAAGAATAAAATTTAAAAAAAAAAACAAAAAACACCTAGTGGCTAAAGTCCCTGCCTTGAATCCCATATCGACACTGGTTCTAATCCCAGCAGCTCCACTTCCCATCCAGTTCCATGCTTGCAGCCCGGGAAAGCAGTAGAGGATGGCCCAAAGACTTGGACCCCTGCGTGGGAGACCAAGAAGGTCCTGGCATCAGAATGGCTCAGCTCCAGCTATTGCGGCCACTTGGGGAGTGAATTAGCAGATGAAAGATCTTTGTCTCTCCTCTCGGTGTATCTGACTTTGCAATAAAAATTAATAAATCTTGAAAAAAACCCTAAATTTTTATTTCCAATGTTTAATAATACCATAAGAATTAGTATCTACTAAAACATAAATAATACTCTGGTATTTGATCTCGTATAATTTAGAAACCTATTTGCATCCATTTAGGAACTATATCTATGAAGAAGCTTCTTAGAAAAGTGGACAAATTTCTGGAAGGCAGGAATAGAGTGGATTCTAGCTTGGTCAGCAACATGTCCGAGTTTTACCATGACTACTGCAACAGGTACCTCACCCATGACTCTCCATCTGTGAGAAAGGCACATTGCAGTGGTAAGAAACACAAAGAGTATGTGAAAGACTACTATCGGAAATGGATGGAAGAGCAGGCTCAGAGCCTGAAAGACAAAAACGATGGCTGTTTCAGCAAAAAAAAAAAAAAAAAAAAAAAAAAAAGATACCTCCTATTCCATTCTCTATTTCTCCTCCTGCAGGGGTGATAACCCAGCTCCCCCTGAGTCTGTGGGGTCCTCCTCCTCCTGGTATGATGCCAGTAACCCCATATGCAAGGCCCTCCCAGGATACTAATGGTGGATCCTCCTCTCCCTGGGATGATGCCAGTGGGAGTTGTCCTGGAATGAGGCCAACCATGGGAGGAGGCCATATGCCAATGATGTCAGAGCCCCCAATGATGAGACCTCCTGCCCGTGCCCTGATGGTGCCTACTTGTCCAGGAATGACTTGGCCAGACAGATAAGGATAGAGGGGAAGCCTCTTCACAGCAGTCCACATCACTTGTTCTGCTTCACCAAATCATGGTGCTGTGACTCTGGGCATTTTTTAACAGCATGAAAAAAGACGTTTTGCTCCCCTTTGCTACTACTAAGAAAGTAGTTTTAGAGGGTAGAAGTGGGATTTTTAAAACTGCAATTTTTGTTTGTACTGTGAAATGTGAAGACAAAATTGTCAACTCTTTCAGTTTAAAAAAAAAAAAAAGCAAACAAACTTGCCAGAGTATACGTTATTGCAATTTTACTTTTTGAGCAACTTTTTAAGTGAGACAGGTCTATCAAATTATTGTAAAACTGGCAGGTAAGGAAAGTACAATAGTTTTGATATGGTTTCTGTATGCCCTTCATAAATGTTCACGGCACTGAAGCACTGGTCCCCAGGATAGCAGTATTTTAAGGTGCTGTGGAACCTTTAATAGATGGCCACTAGCCAAAGCTACTTAAATCACTTGGGGGTACCAGACAGCTCCCCTGCGGACTGCATGGTAGCTCTTCTGAGAGGGCTGTTACAAACATTAACAAGCATGGTTTCTCCCTCCTCTCTACTTCCCCCAGGGACATTTACCTGCCAAAGCCTGCCCTATTTCCTTTGGACTTTGAACTTACAGAACTAGGAACCAAGTGAACCTCTTATTTTGCTAAGCAGTTTGTATCAAGCATTTCATTGTGGCGACAAACAGCTAACAGAAAAGGGAAAACAAATAGGCTTAAACAAAAGAGGAAAATGAAGGTTTCTATAAAAGTAAACATATTCACCCAGATTTTGTATACTGAATATGAAATCAAACATTACCTCAAATAAACCACAAAAAAAAATGCACTAAAACAAAGTAAAAATGCCCTACCCACAAAATCATTCAGAAGCCTGAGCTAATATTTACTGAAAGCAGTCACACGTTACCATTAAAATCTCAACTCTATTCTATAAAAAAAATACATGTATATTTATTTTAAAAGGCAAAACCAAGCACCTTCACAAAGATTACTGACCATACATATCTCAAACTTACTTTTTTGTCTTCTTTTACTTTGTGAATTTTCTTTTTCATCTTCTTATCATCCACCTCCTGGTCAGAAGTGATTGCAGGATTATCAATACCACCTTTCCAAGTTTCAACAGGAGAAAGAAGCGGATCTTCCTCACTTCCACGGTGCCTTCCTTTGCCCTTCTTTTTGGAAGTTGGAAAAGCCTCATCATCACTTGCATCTGAATGTGTTCTCCTATAGTATGATTTAGCTTTACTAAATAAAGTTTTAGATTTGTATTTGTATTTTGAAGGTCTCCGTTCACCATGACTTTTTGAGGTCCTATCAGAAAATCCATTTTCTTCATCTCCTTGGGTGTTACTTACAAATGAATTCCGAATCTTAGTAATTCGATTCTGACTATCATCTGGGACAACATAAATATCATCAGAATAGCCCTTCTTGAAAATAGTGTCAATGGGTTCCGCATAATTATCTGAAGAATCCATATCTTCCGGATGTGCCAAAGGCACCCGACAAGTCTGTTTCCTTGGATTTTTACCAATACCAGCTTCAATTGTTTTTAGAAGATTTGGATCTAGTTTTTTCACATTTGTCTTAGGTACAACTGGTTTAGGTTTAATAGGTGGAGGCACTTTATGGTTGCGTTCATGATCATGACAGTTTGGGGTGCTATGAATAGGATATTCATTTCCTTCCAAATCTAACCTGTATCTGGAACGGTCACTAGGTGTTGGAAGCAACTGTACATCATCTCCAATTGGGCTGTAGGGAGGTGGTGCTTCTGTGTCATCGTCTGAATCAGGGTAGTTGCTATATGGAAAACAGTCTCGGGGAGATGGCAGAAAAACATCCTCACTCTGATGGGTTGATTCCCTTGTATTATCGGACAAATAGGAATTTTCTATCATATTTTTTTTCTCTAGAACATCACTGAAAAACAGAGTAAAGACCTCAGTTTGCCGATGATATTGAGATAAGGAATACAGTGCTGTAAATTTAGCAGTGATCTCAGTTGCAATGTGTTCTCCTTCAGTCATTAGCTCCTTAATAGCTTCATTTTCAAAAAAATCTGCTTGGCTGTCAGTCACTGCCACCAGTTGCACAGGAATGGTGTCCTGCACTTCTGACAGAAATGCTCGAAGCATGCCCATTGATGCTTTCCTCTTGGCAGAGTACACTAATATATACCCATGAACCAGTTCATCTTTTCTGACTCCAATTGAAGAGTGGTATGATAATATCGTTATCTGTATTCGCCTCCTTTTCTCACCTATGATTTTATCAAGCATTAAGGAATTATTCTGTCCAGCTTGAGCAGCACTGCATGAATGAGAAGCAAGGAAGGGTGAGAGGATAAGATCCACACTGAATGGATCGCCACACATGGCACACATGACAATTCTCAAATCAGCTTCTGATACATCTTTATTGGTGGGAACTGGGCTTACCACATCTAAATTATGTTTAACTGATTCCAATACTCCTCTTAGAGCTTGCTTGATCTGGGCTTCATTAAATTTACGAGGATATGTGCCAGTAGGTACATCTACAAAAGGACACTGTAACTTGTTTGCCAGCTGTTGTCCCTGGTGCCTGAGAATTGGGAGATTTTTGCTAATGGAATCCCTCTGGTTGGCCAGAATTAACGTAAATGGAAGATTAGCCATATATTTATCTTTTCTGATCTGAGAAGCTTCGGTTCTTATTTTTCCAATAAATTCCCCAATAAAACTCAGTGACTCAATGGAATTAAATACACAAAAGCACCCATGTGGTTTAAAGGCGGCAGTCCATAACTGACTCAAAGAATAAGGCGATTTGGCATCAATTGGCCGAATATCAAGTTCATAAATTTTTCCATCTAAGGCATATTCATCATCAGTGGATTGCGTTCTTATCTCATTTGCTAGTTCTTGAGCAAGGCCATCCTTCCCTAAAATGAAAAGGTTAACTTTATCTATATTGGTACTATCGTGATACAGCCGTAAGCGACCATGGTCCAACTGCAGAAGACTACTGGCAAGTAACTGTTCCACTTTAATGTCCGTACAATTCTGGCCACTAAGGCATGTTTCTTTAGTGGGATGATAAACAAACCCTATATGCTTAAGCAGAAGGGATTCCCTATCAGGTGCAAGTTTCTGTAAAGCTTTATATCTAGGTTCTTCACTCAGGACAGTATGAATTTCACTCATCTTATCTGAACTAGGTGTTGCATTGAGATCTAAATCATAAAAAAGTTCTGAGTGTTCAAAAAGCATTTCCTGAAACTCTTCTTTGGCTTTTTCAACTATTTCTCGCTGATGCCTGCTATACACCTCTTTGCTATCAGCTTCGGTGATATATTTGAAGGCTTCATCCTCCATGACAAAGCACATAACTTCTTCCCATGGCTGCCCAGGTGAAATGAACTGAATTTTTTCTAAAGTCTTTTTGAATTTTTCCTTCATTTCTACTCTCCGTTTCTCTGATATTAGATGTTGTACATGGTTCTGATAGACTTTTTCAGCTTCTAAAGTGCTCAGGAGGTCAAATGGGATTCGTCTATCATTAATTTTGTCAATATGGTCAGTTTCATCCCACGGTGTTTTCTCTAGCACCACAAAACATAACTGGAAATCTGGTCTCTTTTCCATTATCTTCAAAGCTTCTGACCAATTCAAATGTTCAATTTCTTCTAGATTTGGCAAAAGAGTATTAAAAGCTCTTGGTAAAGTACTTATATATTCTTCTCTCCTTTTTCTTATATGTTCCTGTTTAAGTTGTTCTATATGCTTGGAGAATGTATTCCTGGCCTTTCTTGTTCCCTCCAAGTTGATGTATTCCTCATAATCAGGATGATTTTTTAATTTATTACTAACAGTTTTCCAAGTCGCATGATAATCTCTCACAGTTTGTACAAGTTTTTCAAACTTATCTGTTGCTGTAACAACAAGCTGTCTTTGTGTTTTGTAAGCATCCAGATAGGGAATAATTTTAGGTTTGCCACGAGTTTTATCCAACATTTGTACCAGTGCAGTGAAGCATGTGTCAACGTTGACATTAAATCGGGCTGATGTTTCCACTACAAGAAGGTTCTTTTTGTTTGAAGCAAATGCCTGAACTTCTCTAAGATAATGATCCACGCATTCATCACATTTAGTTGCTGCTATTATTATAGGTTTTTTTGACTTTGATAGCTGGACAAAAAGGTTATTCACAAATTTAAGTTGATCATCAAACTTCCTGTTACATCCTTGACTTACGTCAATGCACAACAAAAATCCATCTACGTTGAGCTTCCCTTCAGGCATCTGCTTCTGTTCAAAGTCTTGCTCCAAGCCTAGCTGATCAGTGCAAATGTACATTAGTTTTTCTGCTGACTGCAGTTTGGAGGCAGCTGCACGTTTTATATATGGTTGCAAATTCGTACTCCGATGAGGCAAGAAAGTCTGGTCATCAATGAACTCTGTTTGTTCAATGACATGAATTTTGCATTCTACTCCATCTTCACCACTTTGTGTTATGTCTCCCCAGTACAGAAAGTGATCATTGTTCACCACTCGTCCTCCAAAGTCAATGGTGCTGAGCACAGACGTATGCTCTGGATAATATTCATCTGCCTTTGAGCGTACAAATCTATTGCACAAACAAGACTTCCCAACTCCACAGTTTCCTTTGTCTTTTTCAGTCCCAGAGAGTCCAACTACACTGATAGTATAGGATGGGGGACGAGGCTCTTTGTTTTTTGCCATCATAACTCTTTTCTCATGTCTTTACATTCATAAAGGTAATCAGATATACTTCTCATTCTGAAAATAAATTCATTTCAAAATACAGATTCTCAAATTCCGTAATTACATTTGGTTCTTTGTATATCCCTCATTTCTGTGCAGAAAAGTCTTCAAGACTGTATCGATCATCTTCCTAGAAAGGAGGAAAAAAACAAATCTTATTCACAGACTATAAATATTATTCATAATAAAGATGCTCGTAACAAGGCATCAACCTATAACATTAGAAGTGTCTTAACAAGTTGCCACATAATTAATGGCAGTCATGAATGCAAGATGATTTAAAAATTTAAGGTAAGCCAAAGAAATACAAAATGTAATGTAACATTTTACAAGATTTAAAATAAACTCCTATTAGCTAAATGTGCATTGTGCTTCTAGTCATTCCTTCCTCTAAGTCTGAAGAATCAACCAGCCTGTTCCAGATCATCAATATTCCTGTGTTCTCCAACTAGAGATTATGCTGGAGATAATTAAAATGTACAAGCTGTCTTTGCAACTCTCTCATGTTTTTAAAAAATAAAAAACTTTTTTTCTACCTCATGGTGGCTCAAAATGCTCTCCCTAAACAGAATTTCTTATAAGTTTTTAGAACTTAAGAAAATGTTTTTAAATAGTATTAAATTTTGTCTCTAAATGTTTGAACACTTACATCAAGGAAATAGGAAGAAAAATAGCCAGTTAATAAAAATGAAAGCAATTAAGTACATCATTGCTTCTCAAACTGTTTATTAACACAAAAACCAAAACTTTTATATTTCGTATCTAGCAAGTTCAATTTGGAATAATTTGAAAAACACCTTTATTTACATATTTGGAAGGCAGAGTAACAGTCCGAATAAACTCAATTTTAAAAAAAATTCAAGTCTTATATAGGCATTATGTTCCAGTAGGTGAAGCTGTTGCTTGGGATGCCCACATGCTATTATCAGACATCAGCACTGAGTCCTAATTACTCCATAATTCGAATCCAGCTTCCTGCTAATGCACCTGGCGGGCACAGCACATAGACTGATTACTTAGGTTTCTGCTATGTGAAGACCAGGCGGGGTTTCTGGCTCCTGAACTCAGCCTGGCTATTGAGGGCATTTGTAAATGATCAAACTTAAAATATCTGTATGTCTCTCTCTCATTCTGCCTGTCAAACAAACCTTTCTTGTTAAAATCCAACCTTTAATTTTTTATTAGATTCCAAGAGACATAGAGTTATCAAACTTTTTAAATGCTCCTGGTATCTGGATTTCCTCTCACTAGAGACACAAAGAACTCAAAGATGATATTTTAATAGCATCAAGCTAAACATGTTAAAATATTCTTTAACCTGAAAAAAGCCTCTGAATCCCAATATATCAGAGGTATTAAGTAACTTTTAGAACCTGCACAATATCTGATTTCTGCTATTCAATTAAATCTCGAGAATTTTAATCTCGAGAATCTTATCCACTTGAGGCTGCAATCTCAAAGACTGAGCAATGATCATCAGTATATGTGAAAATAATCTCTGATCCAGGCAAAATAGACTAATATTTCTAAAATTGCTGATTTTAAAAAATAAAATGTTTAGATTTATTCTCATTTTGTAAATTGTTTTCGTTCTCCCTTGAAGATTTATTTTATTTTCATTAGAACATTAGATACACAGAGGAGGAGAGACAGAGAGGAAGATCTTCCGTTCGCTGCTTTACTCTCCAAGAGGCCGCAATGGCCGGAGCTGAGTCCAACTGAAGCCAGGAGCCAGGAGCTTTCTCGAATCTCCCACGCACAGAGCCCCAAGGCTTTGGGCTGTGCTTATCTGCTTTCCCAGGCCACAAGCAGAGAGGAGCTAGATGGGAAGCAGAACCACTGGGATTAGAACCAGCAGCCATATCAGATTCCAGTGCTTGTAAAGTGAGGACGTTAGCCACTAGGCTACTGTGTTGGGCCCAAATCATTTTTTTTAAATCCTGAAATATTTATTTCCTTATTTCAGTAGCCAAATTAAACAAAGATACAAACACACATAGCTCTTCCATCTGCCTGAAACTCTCTAAGACAGCTGCAATGAACAGGACTAGCCCAGGATGAAGCCAGGAGCTTTATCAAAGTCTCACACATGGGTGTGTGGAACCATAAGCACTTGGATCATCTTTCACTATTTCACCACACACATTCATTAGCAGGGAGCTAATTAGAAGTGGAACAGCCAGGACACTAACTGGTACCCAATAAGGGATGCTCATGATGTAGAGTGGTTTAACCCACTGTGCCATAACACTGTCCTTATGTCAATTTATTCTCATTCTCAACTAAATTTTAATGACTACCGACCTGATTATAATTAAAAAAAAAACGAAAAACTGGACCCCCGCATAGTAGCCCAGTGGTTCCAATCCTCGCCTTGCATGCGCTGAGATCCCATATGGGTGTTGGTCTGTGTTCTGGCAGCCCCACTTCCCATCCTGCTTGTCGTCTGGGAAAGCAACAGAGGATGACCCAAGACCTTAGGACCCTGCACCATGTGGGAGACCTGGAAGAAGCTCCTGGCTCTGGGCTTTGGATTGGCTCAGCTCCAGTATTTACGGTTACTTGGGGAGAACCAGGAAGATCTCTCCTTTGTCTCCCCTTCTCTCTGTAAATCTTTCTTTCCAATAATAATAAATAAAATCTTTAAAAAGCAATAATAAACTATATGTACTAAGTTTAGTTTTGTAACAAATTATCATACTAAAGATAGCACACAAGTTGGTAGAAATTATGAACTGAATTCAGAGTCCGAGCCCTATCATTTAATGAGAAAAAATATGTTGTATAACTATACAGATTCAAGAAATCAGTTTTTTACTTAAAATGTAGTGTCTATCAAGCAAAAGAGGATTAATAAATGGTAGTTCCATTTCTTAATTTGACTTCTGGAACCATAAAAAAGTATTTAAGATTTCTGAAAATGATGCAATCAAATTGTGGCTTTGTTAATGCTTATCTGGCAGCAGAACCACACAATAACAAATAAATGAAGTCAGACAGTCCAGTCCCATTCTATTAGCTTTTTAAAACTTTGCGATAGAAAACAAAACTCTGTAGATATACTTTAGATAGTCCATCAAAAGAAATTTCACTATCTTGGGAAAGTTTATAAACACAAACACTAAAACTACATGAAGAAATGTTGTTTAAAAAATTATTCTATCAATTAATAATTGAGTAGTGTAAGACTGTATTATCTGCTACTTTAAGAGACAAAGACTGGCTAAAATGAAAACAGCACAACATATCAAGGATCTGAACACCAAGCATTTTCAACCTAAAAACGTAATCATCACAACTTTATTAGTGTTTCTTATATATTGATACAAAGGAAGCATATTCAAACACATTGTAATTTTAAAATATTGATTATTTAGTAAGACTCAACACAGAAGTGGACATCTGACCCAGCAGTTAAGATGGCCATATTTCATGCTGGGGTTGTTGGGCTTTACTCAGATTTGGTCCTCAATCCCAGCTTCCCACCAATGCAGACCTCAAAGCACAACATGTGACACTTTATATGAAATTGGGCCTCTGGGCCTGGCAGCGTGGCCTAGCGGCTAAAGACCTCGCCTTGAACGCCCCGGGATCCCATACGGGCTTCAGTTCTAATCCCGGCAGCTCCACTTCCCATCCAGCTCCCTGCTTTGGGCCTGGGAAAGCAGTCGAGGACAGCCCAAAGCCTTGGGACTCTGTACCCAGGTGGGAGACCCGGAAGAGGTTTCTGGCTCCTGGCTTCGGATTGGCACAGCACCGGCCCCTGCACTCACTTAGGGACTGAATCATCAGATGGAGGATCTTCCTCTCTGTCTCTCCTCCTCTCTGTATATCTTTGTAATAAAATAAATATCTTTAAAAAAAAAAAAAAGAACGAAAGAAAGAAAGAAATTAGGCCTCTGTCACTCATAAATGAGACCTAGGCTGAGTTCCTAGCTCCTGGCTCTGGCTCCCATGCAGGCCCAATTATCATGCGCATTTGGACAGTAAATCAGTTGATGGGAACTCTGTTGATCTTCTCATCTTTTTTTAAAGGTTAAGACTCACTTAAGACTTTCCCACAGCACAAACCTCAAAATACCGATATACACTCTATATCTTAAAACTCAAAGAGTTGGTACTAGGGCCATGGTGTAGAATGCAAATACTCAGTTTGCAGCAATGGCATCCCATGGGGACACTGCTTGAAGTCCAAACTGCTCCACTTCTGATCCTGCTCGCCATGCCCTGGAAAGCATGGAGGATGCAGTAAGGATGGCCCAAGTGTTTGGGGCCTGGAAGAAGCTCCTGGCTTCCAGGCAGAAAACAACCCAGCTCTAGCCAGTGTAGCTTTTGGTGAGTGAACCAGCAGACGGAAAATCTCTAACTTTTTCAACTAAAAAAAGAAAAAAAAGAATGAAAAATATGAAAAAGTACACAGAGTAGAAATTTTTTTTTTAAATTTCAGAAGTTTCAGTATTAGATCTTAAAATTAAATGGATCTTGACACCAATGTGTGTCATAGTACGTTTAGTCTCCACATCTAGCACCAGGATCTAACATGGGTACCAGTTCAAATTCTGGTTGCTCCCACTTCTGGAATAGTTTCCCAAGAGCCTGGGGAGGCAGTGGAAAGTCCTTGGGATGCTGCACTCAAATGGGAAATCCAAAAAAAGCTTCAGGTTCCCGGCGATGAACAGACCATAATCTGGCTGTCACAGCCATCTGAGCATTGAATCAGTGCATAGAAGATCTCCAACTCTTATCCCGTCTTTTCGTCTTGCCTTTTGTATGTTAACTTGGCCTTTCAAATTTAAAAAAAAAATTTAATATAAACAAAAAAGTGTGAAAACATAAAAATTAAAATGATTGTATGACAATGCTGAAGTCATCACCTTATCACTAGTCAGAAAACTGGAAGGCTTTTATCTAGCAGAAACAGAATTCTTAAAATAGTTTAAATTTTAAACTACAGCTTCAAAACGTCCTAATTAACAGGAGTCATCTCAGGATTTAAATTAAATTAAAGTAAGGCAGTGGTTAGGTACTATTTGGGATGCTGGCATCCCATATCTGCATGCCTGGATTTGAACCCTGCTTCTATTCCTGGTGCCACTTTCCTGTAATGTGCACACTGGGAGGTAGATGATGGTGTTAGGTATTTGGCTCCCCACCATTCCCTGAAAACCCAATGGAGTTCCTTGCACCTGGCCATCTTACTGCTTTCCCAGTTGCATTACCTCGCAGCTAGTTTGGAAGTAGGATAACCACAATTCAAAGTGATGCTCACCATGTGTGAGCCATATGTGGGTATAGACCAGCTGTGGCTGGGCTGAAGCATCCAACAGCAAGGACCATTTTGGGTTGAAGACCAGTCAGGAAAAGCCACTGTTCCTGCTATGACAGGAGGTGAACTGAGTAGGTGAACTGGCTCATGGACCCACTGGTATGCGAGAAATCTGGCATGGGGAGAGGTTCTGATGGAGGAGCCTGGGCAACTCCTCTGGCAGGACACGAGCCTGGCAGGTAAGCGCAAGAAACATGACAGGAAACAGTCCAGAACAGGCCATGGAAAGCTACCCACTGGCATACATCTGGCATGGATCAGGGGAAGACCAGGTTGAATCTGTTCACATCATCCACTGGCAAATCCAGGCACCAAAGCAGTGTGGGTTGAGCCGGGTTCTGTCGCAAGAAAAACTAGTGCACAATACAGAATGCCAAGGTGAGGTTGCCTGTACCAGATGTGACCGCAGCATTCAACCAGCACATGTGAAAACCAGGAAGAGAGGGGGCGGATCTGGCAGGGGAATAAGGAGTGGCTCCTTTGCTGGACAGCTACTCCCACTGGAGAGCATGAGCTGGGATGGGGGCAGAACAGACTAAGCAGGGCTACAACACCTGTACGCCTCATGTGGACTAGATCCGGGAAAAGCCAGGCTGGGCTGATTATTCCTACTGGTGCAAACAAAATTAGAGTGGGTGAGGGTTATTTGGGTTTAGTCACAGCATCAGCTGGCAGAAGCTGGCACTGGGGGCCTAGTTCTGTCAAGTCAAACCACAGAACTACCTGGAGAGTGCATAATCCAGGAGTGGGAGAGGCCTGGGTGGGAAATAGTGGGCTCCTCCCTCTTGGGTTACCACTTCTATGGGAGGGCACGAAAACCAGGACAGGGGCTGGGGTGGATTGGGGTGTGGGACAGCCTGGACTACTGCTACACATACTGCTACACTACTGCTACACATACTGGCAAACCAGGGTAGGGGGCGGGCCTGGTGGGGCCCAACTAAGGCTGCAGCTCCCACTTGTTTATGCGAGGGCTGAATATGTGCGGGGCAGAACCAGGCTGGACTGTAACACCCATTGGTTCCAGTGGAAGGCGGGGCTGAAAACAGAACCAATCCAGCGATCTCAACCACCAGCTGATCAGGGCCATGGACTGAGCCGGGCCCTGTACCTGCTGGCACATACAAGAATCTGGTCCGAGAACACCTCAGACAAAGTTTCTTTGGAGATTTCCCCAATTGAAATGCTGGACTCAGAACCCTAACCAAGAAAAGAGAGAAGACAGAACAGGTCAACCAACCATCTCAGCTATATGTTGGCAGCGAAATACAGGGCAGAGACTCTATGATGGACTATGTCAATCGGTGGATTCTTCAAAGACCTCATAGTGCTTGGAGAGGCAAGATTGGCAGCGATTCATAACTGGTGAACTATCAAAACCACTTGAGCAAGAACCTCAGAGCATGCCCTACATCCGGGACCTGGGGAGGGTGGGAAATTGGGTGGGCCTTCTCTCTTAATAACCCCTTTTTAACATGAAGGTAACAATATGGAAATAATAGTCTTACCCACTTTCCTATAGCCCTTGAACATTTTTACCCCAATTAACTATGTAAAGATTGTCCAAAATACAATTTAAAAAAGTAAAACAAGCAAACAAACAAAACAAAGTGATGCTCACATGACATACTGGCATTGCTTGTAGCAGTTTAATCCTCTATGCTACACAATGCTGGTCTCAGCATTTTTTTCTGGGAGGAAAATAAACAAAACAAAAACAAAAAATGTTTGAGAAATACTACACTAGGAAAAAAAGGCTGTCATTCCATTAAAAGGATTTTACTATTTTGGGTGAGTATAGTATTATCATCTCACGACAGAAGGGTCTCAAAACTGGACTTCCCAGACTACAAAGACATTTCACTTCAAACACTGTAGCAATTTACATATAAAAGGTACTTCAAAAAGCTTGTAGAAACAATACAACTAAAATTAAGTTTATTCTGGCACAATAAAATTTGAAATCCACGCAGTCATGCCGTAAAACATTTTTCTAAAAAAAAAAAGAAAGAAAAAGAAAAAATCCCTGTCATATACCTTTCATATTCTTGGACATCAAAATTTCTACATCAAAATAAAGTTGCATTTTAATTCTATTTTCCACAAACTTTGTGAATTATTCACGTACATAAATTATCCCCAATGTTCTCTAAATCCAAATCAAATGTTCCTCTATGAACCAAATAAGGTATTTTGTATTCATTGCTGGGAACAAAGAATCTCTTCCAATTTTGACCCTCCCATTAATAAACTAATGATTAATTTCTTCTACTGTATATGTGCTGTTTAACTTGAAAAGTCCTTTCAAGCTAATGTTTAACAGTTGGGTTTAGAGTGGCTACTCTGGCTAATCCTACACCTGCAAGCGCCAGCACTGCAATGTGGACACCAGTGTGAGTCCTGGCTGCTCAACTTTCAATCCAGCTCCCTGCTTATGACCTGAGAAAGCGGCAAAAGATGGCCCAAAACCTTGGGACCCTGTGCCCCTGTGGGAGACCTGTAACAAGCTCCTGGCTCCTGGTTTCAGATCAGCTCATCTCTCGCTGTTGAGGCCATTTGGGGAGGAAACCAGCAAAGTAAGGATCTTTCCGTTTCTCCTCCTCTCTGTATAGATTCTGGCTTTCCAATTAAAATAAATAAAATTAAATTAAAAAACATGTTTAACAGTATCACTTGATTTTTATCAACATCATACTTTTTCAAATTTTGATGCAACTTCTACTTTCATGTGACAATAACCTGTTCTCATAAAAACTAGTATTATGCTGGTTTTTACGGATAAAACCAAAACTACCAAAGTTGTAAGGTTAGTATGAAAGCCTCTCCGTGTTCCATTTTGTTAAGATTTATTTTTAAAAAAGGTTTTAAGATTTATGTATTTGAAAGAGTTACAGAAAGAAATAGATCCTTTATTCACTGGTTCACTTCCCAGATGGCAGCAACAGCCAGGTTTGGGCCAGAGTTAACAGCAGCCAAGGAGTTCCATCCAGGTCTCACAAGTGGGTAGCAGGTGCCAGCAGATGGCACCTGAACCAGCAGATGGTCCAGGTACCTGGGTCCCACACCAATGTGTGAGAGCTGAAAGAAGTCTCTGCCCTTCATATAAGGAAAAAATAAATCTTAGAAAAAAAAAAAAAAAGGAGTGGGAGGCCAGCATGATGGCATAGTAGGCTAATCTTCCACCTGTTAGCACAGGCATCCCAAACAGGCACCAGTTCGTGCTCTGGTTGCTCTATTTCCAATCCAGCTCTGTGCTTATGGCCTATTTATGGCCTGTGAGGGCAGAGGAGGATGGCTCAAGTCGTTGGGAACCTGTACTCATGTGGGAGACCTGGAATAAACTCCTGGCTCCCAGCTTTGGATCAGCTCAGCTCTGGCTGTTATGGCCTATGAGGAGCAAACCTGAGGATGAAAGACCACGTTTCTCTCTTTCTCTGCCTATAAAATTTACCTTTCAAATAAAAATAAAGAAATCTTAAAAACACCACCACCTCTGTGCCTTTAGCCAAACTATGGTAATTATTACTAAAATTATTATACTGTCCGGAAACTGCTATTGGGACTATCTTCAAAAGAAACTATTTAGCAGTTTTGGACATCTTTCATTACTCTAACTCTGATCCCATCCACCATCATGTCAGGTCCAAGATTATTTTAAAGTTTTTAAGCTAATTCCTGCTTCATTCATGGTCACTTTCCAGGCTATGCATATCACAGCACCCTGATCATTACTTTAAACACTTAAGTCATAGCCTCCTATTCTTATAACAAATTAGTATGCAACTTTTTTTTTTTATTATTTCCTATTAGCTCTATCCTTTTTCCCAGCCCACTCCAGATTTTAAAATAAAATTAAAGGCACAAATTTTTTTTTTTATTCTACCAGTATACCCAAAATGCCTAAGCAGTGCTTCTCACAGAATCACATAATAGCTACTCAATTAAAAACAAACACTAGTGCTCGCTTTGGCAGCACATAAACTAAAAACAAATATTAAAATTAAAAGTTTCATAAAAAATGAAACTGCTGCTGCATCCGCTGGCGTGTGCAAGAGCCAGGATGGGTGTGGGCCAACAGAACTAAGCCACAGCACCAGCTGGCAAGTGTGGGGACTGGGTGCAAGTCATGTCAGGCTGGACTGCAATATCCAGTGGCAGGCACAAGACCAGAAGCTTGGAACAAGCCAGGCAGGAGAACTGTGGTCATTCCCCTGCTAGGTAAGCTGTTACCTCTTACTGGTGAGCAGAAATATCAGGTTTGGAGGTGGACCAGGATGGACAAGGTGGAGGCACCTGTTGGCACACAAGGGTCAAACTGAGCTAAACTGTGGCACCTGCAGGTGTTCACATGCACTGGATGGTATGTGGACTGGGCCAGGCTAGGCTGCAGCAGAGGCTGGCATGCACAAAAACCAAGGCTGGGCGTGGGCCTGGTGGGAGTTAATGCACTAAGGTGGATTTTGTCAACCAGGAAACCTTGGCAAGGTTTTCTCAACCTGGAGCAACACAACTGACAGTATCTCAGGGCTATCAGAACCACAAGAAACACCTTCACTCTTCCCCACATCGATGCCGCCAGGGCATCATCAAATGATGGTTCCCCCCTCCCTGGGTGCTGATGTAGATGGACAGCAGGGAACAGCCCTCTCCATCTCCTCCTCCCGTGTGGACACAGAAAAAAAAAAAAACCTACTGAAATACATGTCCTGCCCACCTTCACAAAACCATGCCTGACTCTCTCTAGCCTAATCAAAGGCCTACACAGGTATGTATGTATCCCTCTCAAATATATATATATAAAAATTAGAAGTTGAATTTTAAAAATAAAAGTGAAGCTACCTATGACAGCCATAACATTATATAATCAGCCAGAATAATTAAATGAAAGTGAGTTAACCCCAAACAGAGTTGGTTCAAAATACTGCCTACTTACAATGTTTATAAATCAGATATTTACTGCAAAAAGTGACAATTTAAGACCTAATTACACAGACGGAATTTTCTATTTAGCTGCTGTAAAGTCAGATAAACTATTCCTTATATATAAACAAATAATCATAAAAGACAGAATCCTGTTGTCAGGGGTCATAATACAGCAAACTAAGCCACCGCTAGCTAGTGACACAGCATCCCTTTATTTCTGAGTGCAGGTTCACGTCCTAACTGCCCCATTCCCCATCCTGCTCCCAGCTGATGCACATGGAAAGGCAGAAGATGGCTTAAAGGCTCTGGTCCCTGACATTCATGTGGGAGACATGGATGGAGTTCCAGACACAGCTCCAGCTACTGCTACCTTCTGGGAAGTGAAACGAACCACCAGATGAAAGGTCTAGCAATAGCCAAACTCTGTCTTTCAAATAAATAAATCTTAAAAACAAAACAAAGATCCAAACCAAAGATTATTATACTTCCCATAATCTCAGGTAAATTTTTCTAGTATAATTTAAAGATCAGTTGCATAATAAAAATAGTATTATACTGGTGTTATTTTTAATTAACTCTCAAAAACAAATTTGTCAGTGCTATAAAAATAAGAGGAAATGACATTTTTAACACACATAAGAGAGCTGCTATTCAATAATGTAATACTTGTAGAAGAGTCAACCATACTCTGCATCTTATTTTACCTTTGAGTCAGCGTTTTAAAGTGGTCTTTAGGCACACCTATAATCAAATGAATATAAGAACTCATCAAAAATCTGAACAATTAATGTAGTATCTAAATAACATGGAAGCAACGCTATCCTATTTTATCTTAAACCATGTTTCTACCTGCCATATAGCGACTAATCAATACTTGATATATCAATTTCCAGACTCAGAAGATTGAGTCCTATGTTTTTTATAATACTTTAAGTCACATTTGTAATCACAATTAACAAAACTCACAAACATTAAAAGGCAAGGTTTTTTTTTCCCAACAGTCTCATCACTAACCCACATTATGGGCTTACAATCAGTATGACAGAAGACTTAATTCAAGTGCTTCTCCATGGATGTCCAAATAAGACACATTGGGAGCTCCCACCTTAAAGGCCCTAGTTAGCAAGAGTAATAATTCATTCTTATCTTTTGACATTTCAAGTGACTGAAAAATCTTACTGTTGGAAACATTTTTAAACCAATGACTATAAACTATTTCCTAAACAAGGTAACTGTCCACCCTATCATTGAATTTACAACCTTCTCTTACAACATGTGTCCAAGGCCTTGATGCAATACTTATTCCAAACTCTTCGTAGTTCATTTCCTTATTCTGTAGTATAAACAGAAGAACCAAAGGTCATCTCATTTAGAGCAACCTACCTAAACAACCCATATGTATGTACTGTGCTTAGCTACTATCTGTTAAGCTTTCTGTGAAAAGTCAAGGTACAAAGATAAGTACAAAGACGTACACTAAGCCAAAGTTAGAAATTTGTTCACTTCCTTTCAAGGTCTGAGTCCTCCCCCTGCGCTCTCACTTGACCCCTCCAACATCCCCATCCCCATTCCGGCAAACAAGGGAGGACAGAGCATGCCTTTAACATTGTAAAGTTAGACAGCAATCATCTCAATTACACAAACATTAGGTGAAGTTTGACAAACTCTTTAAAAGACAGCATTTGGTGATGGAATATTAAGAGGTCACACAGGAAATCTCATGAAGGGGAATTACATGGAAACATAAGTAACCAAAAATAAGTGAAAAGCACTTTCTGC